CCAAGAAGCGCTTGAGCATGTCCAAAGCACTGTTCCACCTCGTCACAACGTCTACAGTTACCTTGTGCGCTGGTAGTTGTAGCAGCTTCTGTTTTTCTTTAAGTATGTGGTTCGCTGTCGTACTCCGGTGACAGAACGTTGCTATACGCCTGACTCGAGCCAGAAGACGTGACACGGCTGGGATTCTCAGACCCGCTTGTGAGGCTAAGTTCAGCGTGTACACGAAGCAACCAATGTGTATTAGCTGCATCATGTCCACCGCTCTAACCATATTTGCAGCATTGTCCATCACAACAGCTGTGTCTTAGCTGGTCAGCCCCCATTCCTGTATAGCCCCCGTCAACATATCAGCGATATTACCAGAGGTGTGACTCGTGAGAACTTCGGTGGTCTGTAGCACATGAGACGCTAGGCACCACTCGTTGTCAATGTAGTGAGAAGTCACCATCATATATGACTGCGCTGACAGTGAGGTCCAGGTGTCGCACGTTATGCCAACCCTCTCTGCTGACATCATTTTTGTCAGGATATCTTCTTTCACAGATTTATACATCATGGGGATAACCGTTTCAGTCAGATGTTTACGTTGCACCATAACGTAGTGGGGATCGAGCACCTGAACGAGCCGCTTGAAGCCTTCGTTTTCCACTACAGAGTACAGCCGTAAATCTTTGCAAACAAAAATTGCGATGGCCTCAGGTATTTTTATGGCCCACGGAGAGCTGGGTGTCAATGTTAGTGATTCCCTGAGTTTCTGTTGTTTTGCTCCGGACGGCTTGTTGTCGGAAGCTAATGCTAGCTTGGCATGATATCTTGTCAAGTGGTTTCTGAGGTTCGTAGTATTTCTACAATAACTGACCTCCACTTGGCAGATCTTGCATATCACTTTGGTTTTATCCAGCTCTTTGTCCTTTGTTGTTTTAAATCCAAAATGGATCCAGACATCAGACCTTAGCTGAGATCGGTCGTAGCGCGAACTTCCACTTGCTTCAGCCATTTTACGTATCACGCAGGCGACGGATGGGGCCAACTCCTTAGGGAAAACTAATCAGTCTCAGAACCTATGAATCGATATTGCAAAATTTTAAGTGAAATCGATCCAAGATCGATTAAATCGATTTTTTTACCCAGCCCTAATGTTAATGTACTATGATGTTCTTATTTAACAAACTAACTAAACAAACTTTTGCTGTTGAGAACAAATTAAGATTTAAAGTTTTAGTCTAAGAAAATGTAAAATATATATTTCCTGTGTAATTAGCTGCAGTTTATCAATGGTACACCTATTATAAAACAACCTTCGGAAACGTTATGGCATCTGTGCTGACACTTCCTGTTGTCAGCCAGCTGGGTGAGGGCGGAGGCGGCTTCTGACGCGCTTCTATTCATAAATCAAACCTCCTTTTGTCTGTGCGTTAGTCTTGTTTATTTTCTTTTACAAGCATTAGCTGGCGTTTTACATGATGCGGTTCCAAGGATAGTAGTGCTCCCAGTTGATCATCACAAAAAGGAAGTATGTTGTGCCATGGTGTCGTGAGCGGTAAAAACCGTATGCTCATCCCGCCACCCATGCGTAATCATCTCTACCGAAACACCTGAGGACCCACTTAAATCACATGTGACGCACCCAACACCACCACCACCACAGATGAAAGCCCAACCCACAAAATAAATGGCTCCTACAGCATCTAAACTCGAAATGCAAGAAAAAGCCTTTTCAGCAAGTGTTTCATTACATGTTTTAACAACAAAGCATGGAGTCTTTTAAACAGCCGAGTTTTACAATTGTGTTTGTTTTGATGAATAAATCTGAAACTAGTGTCTAGTCCGGGTCATTCGCTGTAGCACTGCTCCCTTGCAGTGAGAAGGTGCTCTGTGGTCACATCTGTTGTTCACTTCCTCTCATTCAAATCAGTTCCTAATTTAGTTTATTTGTGGCATTTTCCTGTAGTTTGGTCTGGACTAAATTGCATCAGTTGATCCAAATGACCTGGTAAAATATAAGCTGTAAAGCAAAGTGGGCTTTCTACCCTTTCAGTCTTATTGGAAATTAGCTGATATTAGAACTACTGATCTAAGCTGTTGAGGCTGGAGGGGATCCTTCAGTGACTTAACATCCTGCGCTGCAGCTTGATTTAGTGCTAACATCCAACATGTGTGAATGAACGCAGGTACTAAATAAACGTTTTGATGTGCAAAAAGATCCAAGCCAAGCAGACAGTAATAAGTCAGCCCAAAGAGAGATTTGTGACAGAAAAATGGATGGTGTTGCTATTTGATATTTCTTACAACCTACAGCACATGGACTCAGTCCAGGTTTCTTTCAAAACCACCGTGTCTTGTAAACGATGTGAGGAAAGAACTGATCTCTGACGGTTTCGTAACGGGCAGAAACGGCATTTTTGTAGTTGAAAGATCAAGTCTGGTTGACACGAGTACCTCCCCCTGGCATAGTCATAACACACAGAGCAGCTGGGATGATGCAATAAAGAAAGGCAAATATTTGTAGGAAAGAAAGTGGTTTTAGAAGAGGAAGAAAGGATCTTTTCTACAGCGCCTCTCAAGATAAAAATCACGAGGCGCTTCACAAAAACAAAAAATGTAAAATATAAAAAAGAATTTAGAAAATGATTAAAAATATGTTTAAAATGAGCAAAAATAGACAATTGTGATTAAAAATGTAAAGAAGTAAAGAAGATAGTGTATGAAAGAGGGAAATCAGTGGATCCTGGGGAGGGTTGGGTAGGGTGAGCAGAACAAGGAGGGGGTGATGAAGGTCACACCCAAACCTGAACAAGTGAGTTTTCAGCTGCTTTTAAAGGAGACCACTGAGTCCACTGCTCTCAGGCTCAGGGGGAGACAGTTCCAGAGTCTGGGGTCCACAGCAGCAAATGATCTGTCACCTTTGGTCTTTTACAACTCTAGATGTGTGCTTTCTTTGATGAAGCGTCAAATCAGTTTCAAATGTTACAAAATAAGAACTGAATGGATGATTACAAGTAATTAAATGCTCGTGAAGTTATACGTGTGTGTGTGTGTGTGTGTGTGTGTCACAGCAGAGGTGCTCTACTTAGACAATACTGCAGCAGCAGCCTGAAAAAGTTTAGTATAATTAAATATCCAGAGCACCTTCTTAGAAACACCAAAAACTTGCTGCCTCTTCTCAAACTTTTGCTCCTAACTCAACCTTGATCAGATCCTTACTTTTATTTACCTTTTAAAGCTTTTTGAGCTACGTTTTTGTTTAAATGAGGTAATAAAATCCACATGCAGGGTTTTCATCAGTTCTCAACACAAACACCACGAGCCATGTCTAAAATAGTTACGACAGAGGAAAAACAGAACGCTTGTCAGCTATTTTTGGTCTTTTGATAATAGAGGGATTATATTAGAAAATTTGGCTTCATGCAAATGATTGAGGACATAGATTTGACCTAATGATGTGTCCAGTTGGATTTGAATGAATTAATAGGAATCTTTTCTAATTTATTCACATTTTAATGTAATTATGGTCTTGAAGAGTTTGAGAATGAGTCTGCAGTGTTTGATGTCAGTGTGATATTGGAAAAAGTCACTTTTATTTAAGGTGCAATAGGAGATGTTTTCTGGACCATTTTTTTTCCACATGGCTTGAAATGCTCTTCCCTTACCGATGGCAACCAATACATTCAATTTTTTGTCTCTCTCACCTTGTCTTTCCCGAGCCAGCTCGGAGACATACGTTCTCCAACATGTCCTGTGTCGACCAGGGGCCCCCTGCCGGCAGGACATGCCTGAAACACCTCCCTGGGGAGGCGTTCAGGAGGCATCCTAACAAGATGCCCAAACCACCTCAACTGACTCCTCTTGATATGGAGGAGCAGCGGCTCTACTCCGAGTCTCTCCCGAATGTCCGAGCTCCTCACCCTATTCCTAAGGCTGAGCCCAGCCACCTCGGGGAGAAAACTCATTTCATTAATTTTTTTTATCAAAGAAAAAAAAAAAGAATAATTTTAATCTACTCTGAATCGTACATTCCTGGAAAAATGTCATCCAATCATTGTAAACATCCCATTCTTAATGCTTGGATCATGATCCACCCATCAAACAGCAGGCTGACTGGATGTCCCACCTCTGTGCACAAATCGCACATTCAGGAAGCAAAGCCAGAGCCGGACTAGCTAGTGTAACGGACAGAATGTATCGTTGGTGGTTCGGAGCTGATGTGATTATGAAGTTTGAGAACAAACCAAGGAAGCTAAAGACTGCTTCATTTCCACCACAAAAACACCTTATTAGTTAGCATACTAAATAAGCTCAGCTCAGTGGCCTAGTGGTAGTGTCTGCCCTGAGACTGGGAGATCAGGGTTCAATTCCTGGTTGGGTCGTACCAAAGACTTTGAAAAAGATGGGATCCAATGCCTCCCTGCTTGACACTCAGCATTAAGGGGGTTGGATTGGGGGGTTAAACCACCAAATAGATCCCAAGCGCGGCTGTGTCTGCAGCTCACCGCTCCCCCAGGGGATGGGTCAAATGCAGAGAACAAATTTCGCACACACATCAGTGTGTGTGACAACTAATGGGACTTTAACTTTAAATAATTATACATTTGCATGTGTTAAATTAGGACTTATAGCAGAAATGTTTGAATAACTCCATGTTTTATGGTAGTTTGACCATTTAGTTTGGCGGTATGCGTAGCCAACCCTAACCTAAGCCTCATCCATCCGATTTTGTGACTCTACAGATGAAGCCTGAAGAAAGGGTCTTGAATGATTTGTACAATATGTCTGTTAGCAACATTTAGTGTGAAAAACCAAACCTGACAAAGCAAAAGAGGAATTCAATAGATTAAGATCCAGATCACCCATATCAGAATCGTTGGAAAACAGATCTGGTTTTCGGATCAAATCTACAGAAGTTGGTGGAGAGAAGCCAAAACTAAGATTTTTTCAAAGCAGTTTTTCTGATGCAAACAACCACACAGGACTGAGAAATAGTTTTTAATATAAGTGCTCACCTGGTTTTTCTGCTCGTTCACCTTTCTCCCCTTTGTAGCCTCGCTCTCCTCTCTCACCTGAAATCATAAAGTAATTATTTAAATAAATTCATAGTCATACAGGTAGTTGGTAATAATGGATATAATAAAAAAACTTGATCTCAATTTGATGACTAAAAAGGTGTCAGATTAACTCTACTCAAACTTCGTAATCTTTGAAGACAATTTTATTCATAAATTCTCATCAAATATTTTGATTTTCAAGCCTCTAGATTATGGCTGCAACTAACGACTATTTTAATGGTCGACTAGTCACCGACTATTGAAACGATGAGTCGACTAATCGGATAATTATAAAATTTTTCTTAAATTTAGCATGAGATTGCTTTAATTGTGTGAAAAATGATAATAAACACAAGAAAGATGGGTATTTCAATGGAAAATGCATATTTTATTGAACTTTGCTGCTGATAGGCCAATTCATACTAAAAGTAAATAAAAATGCCCCGTCTAACACCATTTAGGCACAGTGCCCAGTCAGTACAGACATAAATGCATAAATAAAATGAAAATACTTTTGTCGGGCACAGTCGGGCATAACATCTCTTTTTTTTTAAGTGAAAATACATTTAAATAAAATGTACAACGTACATCCAAATTAAAACATATTGGCTTTCGTGTTATTTAAATCTTAACGAGGCGAGTCAGACTATTTCATTCAACTGTCCGACGTGCTTTCTCGTTAAGTGTTCATGCATCACCGAGGTGCTGCCGTGATACGCGAGGACTGCTTTGCAAATAATGCAGGTCATCTTTTTATTCGCCGAATCCAGGCTAGAATGCTCCCAATCTTTAGATGTTTTGGTACGCGTAGCTGCGGTGTCGGACGCCGCCATTTCTGTTAGTTGGCGCTTAGCAGAGAAGCTATTGTGCATGTGCGACTCTCGGCAGAGATTGTAATGAAGTGAGACGCCTCACTCGGTCGGAAAAAACACGTCTGGCGACAACGTCGACAATGAAGTTAATTGTCGACTATTTCCATTGTCGATATTTGTCTACAATGTCGACGAATCGTTGCAGGCCTACTCTGGATGCAGTTTTATCTAACTCGATAACCTTTCATATCCGGTCCTAGACATGTCTGCTGGTGGAGGATCTGGAGGTGGCAAGGGCCAGTTTAAGTTTTTATTATTGTTAGATAATTGCATGCATAGAGTATTTATATTTGCATTAACCACTAAGTAAATGTTTATTATTTCACATTTCAGGGTTACTGCTGTCAGTGTGTCAGAGACGCAGGTGTGTGGTTACCATGGTGACCCTAACGAGACATTGCCAGCAGTTTTAACATTTCTGTAGTTCTCTCTGTAATTCCTTTACATTTGATCAATCAAAATATACCCAGCAAGTAGTATGGGTTTTAATGTCATTAATTCAGTCAAAAGGTGTGAAAACAAACACAATACAGATCATACTAATAAAGCAAAAAAAAAAAAAAAAAACAGAACTCCAAAGACAACAGTTCAACCACTGACAGTTTCATATTTTCTGTATCTCCCACCCGTTTGTCCCTTTTAGAGCAGTTTAGGCTGAACCTTTTCAATGTACAGCCCCTGTAATTTCTTGCAAATGGGTGTCAAGTGTATAAATGAGAGGCTAAAATCCTTAATGCCTGTGTTTGAAGTACATCTAAAGGTGGAAGGCAACAAAATATTTTAAAGTGTAGAAAAACACAAAACAAGCATTTTGTGAAGATTTAATTTCATGAAAGCCTAAATGTTAAAACTACTTGTGTTCACCAGAGGTTACTGTGCATTTACTTACAATATTATTCTCAAATCTGTGGCTTAGACACAATTTTGTCTCATTTGTTTTTATTTCAAATACTATAATGTACCAAACATTTTAAATTACATCTAAAACGGCTGTTGCCATTTTCCAGCCATGAAGTTTAACAAACCTCATGTCTGCTTTTGCCATAAAGCTACAAATGGATCAACTTAAACGTATCTCACCTTTAATTTAGCTTGTTTCTTTAAACACGCCAGACCACATTTTAGGTGTCAGCCGAGGTGGCCCTTGGCACGTTTTAGTGCCTGTGTGTGTCTACAGCTAACACGCCGCCCACCACACCCCGACTGTGACGTCTTCAGCTGTCAGAGCTTTGTGTACTTCAACCACATCCTCAACAACTAAATTATACTGTAGGGATAACACAAGCACACCATTTTATAACACTTATCAAAGATCTGATCTTGTTGGTAACAGATCCAGGAGGGAAACCTGTACATCACTCTTTTCAGCTCCTCTTGGGAGATTGTCCTAAGGATAGAGAGGGTATATAATCCCTTCAGAGACTTGGGTTGGTCCTGGGGTCTCCTCGTGGTGGGGCATACATGGGAAACCTCCAACGAGGAGGCATCTTAATCAGATCCCCAAACCACCTCAGATAACTTCTCTCTGATGCCTATCAGAGATCTCTCTGATGCCGGATCTGTTCTGTGGGGTACCCCAAGGCTCTGTTTTGGATCCGCTGTTGTTTCAGCTGTACATACACCCTCTTGGGCAGATACTTGATTCTTTTCATAATGTCACTTATTGTCATAGTCTGCATCTTCCTTCATGTGTCTTCTGATGTTTCTCCATCCCTTTCTGGGTTCCCTTCTGTGTCTCATAGCACCCTCATATGTCCTTTATCTGCGTTTCATTTATGTGTCTTCTGTTTGTAGGCCTTCATATCATTACCTCAGGTCCGGTTTTCGCTTAGTCATCCTCAGCCCCTCCAGTTGTAGCTCCAGCCTCTTGTTCCCCAGCTCAGTATATGCGTGTGTGTGTGAGTGTATGTGTGTGTTAGTGTGTGTATGTGTGTGTGTGAGCCCTTCCCTCAGTCTTTAGGTTTAGTTTTGTGTTTTAGGTTTATCTGCCCTCCACTGGTTCTGTTCCCCATTTAGTTAATTGTTGTCACCTGCCTTGCCTCCAGCCCTCACTCCACACACCTGCTGCCTGTTTCGTTAATCGTTTCTCCCTGTGTATTTAAGCCCTGTCTTGTCTCTGTTTGGTGTCGGTCCATTGTTGCTTGTATGTCAGCGTTTTCTGGTGCTCTGTGTGAGCTTTAGTATCTCGTCTCAGTTTTTGTGCTCTAAGTGAGCTTTTGGTTCTCCTAGGATTCAGGAGTTTGGGTTTTTGGCTTCCTGCCATTTTGGATTATTGTTCATCCTCCTGAAATTTTACTTTTAAACGCTCCTGCCTCGTGTCATCTAGGGTATCTGCATCTTGGGTCCTAACAACCTCCTCCTTACTTCAGAACGTAACACTTATCACCTATATGCAGAGGATATTCAGCTGTACTGCTCCTTTAAGGATTCTGAGTTCTATAAACTGTCAGAATTACTAGAGTGTCTTTCAGCTAACACCAGCTGGCTAGAAGATAACTTCCTTCAGTTAAACTCTGAAAAGACTGAATGTCTGATCATTGCCCCAGAGAGCATGGTTCCCCTGATTCCTAAAACTTGGTCATTTATCCTCTACCGTCAAGACAAACTTAAGGAATTTGGGTGTTATTTTTGACCAATCAATGTCTCTTGAAGGTCACTCAAAAACGTTGGTCCGAAACTGTTTTTATCGTTTAAGAAATATCTCCAAACTGCAAAGGTTGGTGTCAAAACATGAATTTGAAATGGTTCTCAATGCCTTTATCTCCTCCCGACTAGATCACTGTAACACACTCTTCACGTTTTAACAAAAACGCCCTTGACCGCCTTCAGTTGGTCCAGAACTCTGCAGCGAGGCACAGAAGAGCACACATCACTCCTATTCTGATGTCTCTGCACTGGTTACCCGCTAACTTTAGAGTTCATTTAGAATCCTGACTATAAGTTTCAGGGCTCTACATGGTCAAGCTCCTCCCTATATTACTGAACTGTTAAAGCCTTATGCTCCAACCCGAGCCCTCAGGTCCACACACCAGAACCTTCTAGAAGTTCCAAAAACCAGATATAAAAGTTGAGGTGATCGCTCCTTCCAGGCTGTTGCACCCCGACTCTGGAATGATCTTCCTTTATCCTTACGCAGCATTGACAGTCTGGACACTTTTAAAAAAAACAGCTAAAGACCCTTTTATTTAAAGCTGCATTTACCTAAACCTTTTATTTTCTCATTTTTAACTCAAATGTTTAGTCTTTCATCTGTTTATGAAATGTTGTAATTTTGACTTTTTTATGTTAATCTAATTCTGTTTTGAGATCATTATGACTTCATGACTTTGTTTTATTTGGTTTTGATCTATGTGAAGCACTTTGTGATTCTGTGTCTGCGATAAGTGCTATAGAAATAAAATTTACTTACTTACGTATTACTATCTCAAATATTCTACAGGGCATTAGCTACTTGTGCCCAGGATCTTTCAGTCATGGTTGAACCTTAAACATAACATAAACATAAACATAGTAAATGGAGAGCTTGGATTTTTTTTTAGCTTGAAACTTGTTGTCAAGAAGCCCCAACAGGGAGATCCATAACATTCCCTCTTTGCCGCCTTCACCAGCTCCTTCATTGGGAGTCTAAGGTGTTTCCAGGCCAGCTTAGAATTATAACCCCTCCCTCCAATGACCTGGGACAACCCAAAGGGCTCCTGCTGGCATGGCATACCCAAAAACTGGCAACAGCCATGAAAGTGATTTTATTGCTTAGGAAAATGGACTGCAGTTACCTAATTTAACCACAAAATGTCATTCTTAATAATTGCACCTTTAAGTTGTACGTTTTTAAGTTAAAGCAGGTCATCAACATGTAACTGACTCTTGATCTCATCTAATGTACCTAACACCCAAAGTGGAAGCAGAAAATGCAACACAACAACAGAGGAAACAAGCAAGGAAGCTATTTGTAGCCTTTAAGGGGAACCACATTCTTCACCAGCTTTTAAACTTTCCAGTGACAAGATCTTTAACATTCACATCTAATTAAAGTAATTTATTTCCAGCAACACCTCATAACATGTTTTCCTGTGAAGTAGGACTTCAGCTGGTTCTGTTACTGACCGTTGGGTCATAACCGCTATAAGAAACAGATCAGTCTGGCCCTTGTTTTTCAGGGATATTGGCCAACTGTGGGGCTGTGGGACTCAACACTGGATATTCAGCTAAACCAGCTCTGATTGGCAACAGCTGTTGGCTTTACACACACACACACACACACACACACACACACACACACACACACACACACACACACACACACACACACACACACACACACACACACACACACACACACACACACAATGACATTTGGTGACAAGAAACAAAAACACTGCAATGCCTTATAGTGGTTGTGATTTTGTTATCACGGTTCATTCAGAGAGCGTTTTTGTTATTGTTGGCAGCATTGAGCTCGGGATGCCAAAGTTAGGCTGATATCAGCACCTCTGGGCTTTATGGACTCTCAGACAGGAAGAAAAAGAGCAGAAAGACAGAAAAACAAGATGAAATATGAAGTTGTGAATGAATATAGTTGAGAATGAGTTAATCAGAACATGAATTAACCTTTTAGGTAAAGATAATGCTCTATTTTGCGATTTTGAGACTTTTAAATTAAAAAATAAACATTTTGCATCATGTGAAACAATTGCTGTCTTTCTACAAAAATTATCTGTATTATATTAGAACACCTTCATGTATTTAATGGTAAATTTAGAGTTCTAAGTGACTGAATCTGTTAATAAAATACATAAATACATAAAAAAAATATTTTTACAAGTTAATTAGATAAAACAGGCTCATATTTGGATCGCACAAACTTCATTTATTAAATCCTGGAAAATCTTCAACTTTAATTGTTTGCATTTCATAGGATAATTTTGACTCAAGACAGCTGAAGAGTTATCATATAAGCAGAAGCAGCTGCAGCGCTGGAATAAACATAGGATGTAGGTGGTGAAGCATTTATGGTTTCTGTGACCAAACAAAGAAAACAGTGGCACCTGCTAGCATAATCTGAAGTGTTGAAGCTTTGGTTCCTAATAAATTCTGGAAGTATATATTTTTATTTCATTTCACACAGCGTTTTGAGCACTAAGTGTTTTGGCTTGAAAACCTGAAATGATATGGAGGATAAACGTGTTGACAGGTTTCAGCTGTAGGTTGTACTGGACTACTGGGAGAAACAGGAATTTTTATATTGGGAGATTAAGTGAAGACGTAACCAGTTTTCAATATTGTGGCTACTGTATCACTCCATTACGTCACACATTTCTGGGGTTTGTGTTGACATGCAACCAATAAACCATTAACGTACCTTTTGGCCCAACTGGCCCTGGGTCTCCTTTGTCTCCCTGAACGCCGTCGGATCCAGCTGATCCTTTAATTCCCCGTGGACCTTGCATTCCCTTTTCTCCTGCGAATCCTGAAACAAAAACACATCATGGTAAATCCAACCAATGCTATTTGACATTTTGTGAGATCTAGAGATAACCTCCAGGAATCCAACCAAATGTGGTTGTTGAAGCTATTTATCTTATTCCCTTGTTGTGTTTTACTAATGTTGAGTTGGTATATTTTAACCAGTAGTAGTCAGGATTTTTCAGCAGGTGTTATTTGTGGGTTGGAAGCTGAAATTCAGTTCGAGTTTCATTGTGTTTTTATTTTTTTTTTACAAACAATTCAAAACAAGCTTAACTCTAGGCTTAACCCTTTATGCATGGGCATACTTTTAAGTCTAGATTTGCAGCCTAAACCAGAAACTTTAAGTTTTTTATTAGAAAAAAGGTGAAAAAATTATTAAAAAGAACAAGAGATAAATGTTTAAAATAAAACAAGTTTAAAAATGTCAACACAAAGAACATAAATCATGAAAAAATATCATTTTAATAATATCCAATTGGACAGTAGTAGAAGCAAAATGGGTTTGCTCTGCATGTCGATCTAGCCATGCTCCATTGGGACTTCCGCAGCCCTGGGCAGTTTGGTAGTGTGCCAATCACAGTGCTTTATTGGTTTGGTGGGCCAATCGCGGCGTTCTATAATACAATACTATAATACTATAATCCAACCAGAAAAGCAGTAGATGCTATATCGTTATGTCCAACTTTTAAAATATGCAATAACAAAAAGAAAAACCACTGGTTCACGTAAACTCTTGAGAGAGAAATAATCAGTCAGTTACCCTTCTTTTCTTTGGGATTTGAATAAACAACTTCTATTTGTTAGATACAATATATGTGCAGCATTTAACCTGGGAAAAAGGTTAAGGCAAAAGGTTTAACAACTCATTCTATGCCGTTCAGATTTTTCAAAGACTGCAAAGGGCCTTTTTAACCTTTTACCAAATCCTCTACACTGAAACATCAACATTGTTTGCCTTGCTACAAACAAAATCTCATTTATTTTCAGGTTTTTCTCAAAAGTGTGCTCAAATGTCTCAAAATCAGTGGGGTAATGACTTATTGATTGCACCGCTGAAGAGAGCTTAATTATTTTCAAATGTGCTCCAATATGCCCTAATTACAAAATTGTGATGACTCAGAAATGTAAATGAAATTATTTGACTGAAAGCATTAGAGGCAGAAACACAATAAACCCCATGATGGATGGAGTTGTTTAACTCAACAACCTGATGGGAAAGTTCCATCAGTCATAGTTTGGATCTAGAGCAGAAGAGTTCCTCTGCAGTTCGGTCCAACTGGATCATTCAACAGGAGGGAAAAAGAGGCTGGATGTGGTGAAAGATACTTCTGGCTCCGATGCAAACGGAGTAACATAAGTGTGAGCTGCGCAATACAAGCAAATGGTCCAAACATGAGCTTGTAGAACAGGAACGGAACGCTGCATCCATAAAAAAACGGCTAGGGAGGGAGCTTCCTTTTCCTGCACATTATTCACAATCACACTCGGATTCTGACTTGCAACTTTACACAAACTTAATACCAGCGAAACAGAAATGAGACTTTTTAATTACTAAAACAAAAAAAAGAAAATACATTCATCACTTCTCTACACCTGCTTGTTTCTGTTCAGGGTTTTGGTCTGTGAGAGAACAGCTGAGTACTCGGATACGCACAAGGGGAACCCACCAACTTAACACAGAGAGACCAGCTGGGAATCAAACCCAAGACCTTTTTACTGCCTGCCAAGTTACCAGTAAACCCACAGAACTAGTGAAAAGGGCTCATTTCTCCCAAACCATGGGTAAAAAGCCAAATAAACGAGGGCATGATGAGAACTCAAACAGCTTTTAACTCCTAATAAAAGCTGCTTTTATCATGTTAGAACTTATTTTTATTTATTGTAACAATTACAGTAAAATATGTTATTTTAAATAGAGATGTCCCGTTCTGATATCAATATCGATATGTATTGGATTATATCGGACTGCATCAAAAATCTCTGATATTAGCAGTCCGTTAAGGTTCACATTTTTGCAACCAATAGTTTTTTCACACTTACTGTTATTGGCTCTTGTTCAACGATTGAGTAATATCACTTGATCAAGCCTTTCATACATTCCACACTGCAATATAGGTAAAAGTATGCATGATTTGTGCTGATATCGGATCGGATTGATATCGGTACCGGTCACTACTGAAGGCTGCCACATCGCTATCATATCGGAAGTGAAAAAGTTCTATCGAGATATCCCTAATTTTAAATAACATTCCTACGCCATTTTTTGCCACCATGCTGCCTAAAAAAAAAAAAACGGAAACAAAACTAACACATCTGACAAACTGCACACTATTTAACAATTAATGGATGATTAATAATATTCGGCCTTTAATCCACATTTACGTCTTTCTTCTGACTCACTAGGCTTCAGCTACTGACAGCAAACTGAAAGACATTAGCGTAGGCATCTTTGATCATTTCCAACATTTCTGGACATTCTCTTTCGAAAACAGTAACAGAATAATCACAGCCACCTGGAAACCACCAGGAACTCCTCTGACTTTCATGGCTGTGAGTCAGGAAACACAAGAAATGTGAGACAGTTTTGGGAGGCATTGGAAACCTTTGAAACAAAGTTGTGACTGGCTGGAGACAAAAACAAAGAATCTAACATTTGGACAAATGAAACAAGGATAAATGATGAAGAAATTAAAACACATTTTGATGAAGTTTCAACAAAAACATGGCTGTCGCAATTAATTTAAAATGACTTAATTGCCTTCTGAATTAATTCAGTGTGATTCCACCACGAAATGTGGAAATTTTGTGTAATTTTTGGTGTTTCCAGTTTCTGCCCAGTGTGAAACTGGCAAAAAAAAAACTCGTGAAAAACACATTTTGTAGCTGTTTTTTCTTGTACTTAAAAGCTAAAACAACTAAGATAACATCAGTCTTTTGGCGCACTTGAAGCTAAAACAAGTTAACCTTAATAGTCACCAGATTTTATTGTGCACCTCAGAGCTGTTGCCTAGTTTTAATGTTAACTATTCAAAAACCTTTTCTTTTTTTCCCCTTTTTGTTAGAAATTGTTTTCATTCCCACTTTCCTGGAACCGTGGCAGCATATGCGGAGTTGCCTTTCAGCAGGAAGACAATGCTTCTTGGAAATGTTCCAAAGTCGGGAATGTACGATGGATGATGACAGCAGACGACCTGCAGGCTGATGATTCAAGAGGTACCAATATGGAGGGGGGCCCAGAACATCTGGATTCATACGGTTGTTGTTTGTGTTGTGTGGCCTCCTTTAAAAAATTAAATAAAAATAATTTCTGGGTCCTGAGCTGGTAATCCCCTCCGGATAAAGGGTTAGATCGTTTTTTACAGAACTTTTTAGTGAGATGAAGATGGATGATGCATCCCACTGGCTCTGGCTGAAAATAAATCCCCACCCAAAGTCTGGAACTTGTTATTTTTATATATTTATCTACAGAACCATTCAGTCTCCACGCTCACCGCTGTATTAATGCATCTGAACAGCCGGGGAGTAGAAGTGTGATTTTAAATATAAATACACAGATAGACGACTGAGTGCTTAAATGGATATTTCATCCAATATTTACCCAAACAAAACCCCTTTGAATGTTAGCTGAATTTCTATTTCTAATATTAACTATTAGTTTTAAATATACAGTCTGTGTCTCACCCAAGCCCCCATAATTCAGGTCTGAAATTGAAGCCAACACGGAAGTGTGAAAAATTGCAGTTCCACCCTCATCCACTAGGGGCTGGTGTCAGAAACGAGCAAATCCTCATTGACTCCCATGTTAAAAATACCAATTTCACGGCAGAAATAAACATGTTTACAGCCTGGTTCCAAAACATGTTTTAGGTTTAATATATCTAGTTTACACTCATGACAACTCTGAGGGGGGTGAATTTTTTTGTCACTCTTCTGTTTAAGTGTATTAAATGCCTAAAATTCTGAATAATTAATGAGCATCAGACCCACGTGACCACAGAGCTAGCTCCGGGGAAAGGCCTCAGTCTGAGCCTCGGCCTCTCCTGAAAACTGTTCCGCCATTTTCAGTCTCTCAACTTAGACCATTGGTTGTAGCATTTGTGCATTCTTTTTGGATATTTGTTGGACAAAATGACTTGCTGTGGTATTAACTGCATTAATAGAGCACCCAAGGAGTCTCCACTTCATTTTTTTTGGTAAGTAAAATTATATTTTTCTATTTTAGGTCACTGTTGCTCTTGCACTAGCTGAGCTTAGATTTTAACATGTACTGTTTAACCATGAAATTTAAATGTAATAGAGTAAAACCCAGTGCATTTAACAAAACGCTGCATTTTTGAAAATGGGTTGAAATATAACATGTTGGTGGAGCTGGGTTCTGACTATTGGTGTGGTCCCCTCCCCTCCCCGCAGCTCGGTGCCTCTCTGATCGCAGCGGCGCTTGTCTGCTGCGCGGCTGCCGGCTTGTGGAGCTCTCGGGAGACCTCAGTGTGTTCCACCCGGTTTTACCCAGCGGTCAGCCCGGCATATCTCTGACTCAGAAGCTCCGGTGTTGTGCACAGTTAACTCTGGTTGTAGCTAGGTAGCTACCTCCATTAGCTTAGCTCCCACCTCAGCATTAGCTTTGGGTTAGTTTGTAGCTACATTGCTTCAGTTCGACGGGTGTCGCCATTTGATCCCAGCCTTACAGCCCCGCCCTCAGCACCACCTCTTTTCCCTTTTTTGGAATTGTCTGGGCTTGATGGAACCTGTGACATGGTCAAAATGGCGGTGGTGGCCACCTCCCATTTTGGGACAAAAACTTATAATTGGAGCCTATGGAAACAAATTGTCCAGTATATATGTCGATGGTCTCACCTCTTAAGCCTGTGAACCCAGGGACCCCCGGGGGCCCCAGATCTCCAGGGTCGCCCTTTTCACCCTTTGGCCCTGGAGGTCCTGCACACAGAACAAAAGAGCAGATTTTTTTTTCTGCAACACGTTTTTACAGCCAACACTCAAATGTGTACATGTAAGATATTCCAAGATTAAATAAAAATATTGAAATACACCATCTTTTAAAAAGTTCTCCGTAAAAAAGCCAGTTTCTCATCAGTTTTGCATAACTTTAAAATATATCAGTGAATTTAACTGTCCAAATGATCATTTTTAAGTATTAATAAAAGCTCATTTCATTTGAGTAAGTCTAAAGAGGTCAGAAGCAGGCAGTTCATACTGAGTTTACGTTAAAAAAAGAGCTTGAAGGTTTTTTCTTTAGGAAATTGGAATAAATATGACGTGAGGATCTTCATAATTACATTACTTTTGGATGTTTCTTCCTGAAGAAATTGTGTTGTCATAAAGATGAGATATTTAATTATTTCAGAAATTTGAGTTCATGCAGTAAAACTGTTGAGGTCATCATATTAATGGATTTTATCACACACTTTAAGTGACATAACAACCAAATAAAAGCCAAACTGGATTTGACAACCAGTCTAAGGAGTCAGTCCAAGCGTTTGTTCAGAGGAAGAGCTCACCACAGAGAAAATTCTGGTCACAATGAAAGCCACATGTTTCACAAACTGGACCACAGCACAGATTGTGGGAATGATTAGAAACTCAAGACTTGTTATTGTCCATCAGTTAAGACCCTTCAGAGCTTTCACTTGCAGGTTTCTGGTGCTGGCTGGCATTTAAATACAAATCTGAAGCTGTGAAAACACCAGAGAGACGTTTCTGTCATGTTTTCACAGCTTTTTCGGCATTTCATTGTCACTAGCACAACTCGAGGACAACATAACTGACATAACTTCATTTGAGAACGCAGGCTATTAAACCACAATTTTTTAGTTTTTAGGGTTTCACAAATAATGCTTAAATAGTTAGCTTATCACCAAGGGACAAAAGATAAAATCTGCTAAAGCTAATCAAGCATGAATTCATACCTAATTTACAAAGTCATGTTTAAGCAGGGCCGTGCAGAGACCTTTGAAGGGGTGGGTGCTCAAAGTTAATAAATGGGCACATATAGAGCAAATTTTTTAAACAGATTTACGATCCAACAAGTTGGAAAATTCAGATAATGAGATCCTTGGGTTCAAACAACCATATAAACTAGAAAAAAATATGTAATTTTGTGTCATTAATTGAGGGTAATGTTAGTTCATAAGTAATTGTTTGAGTTTTTAAAGCTGACGTATATCTACAGATGTTACAACCACATTTTTGTCCAAGTTGTTTGAGTTTTGATTATCTTCCAATACTGAGTCCTGTTCCGATACGAGCTAATAATGCAATGTGTTACAAAAAAAAAAGAAGATAATGGAAGAACACACAAGTTGTCCTTCTGTCAGTATTTGTTATTTTACTCTTTTAGCCTTAAAAGCCACTCATTCAGGAAGTACATTGAACAGTAATCAAGATTCAAAATAATTTGTCATTGCACAGGTGTACAACAACATTGCGCTCACTAAAGACAGCTCATGTAAGAGGTGGTAAAATATGAGTAAAATAAAATAAGTAGAATAAATGCGACCATGTGAAGTTATCCGGTGTGATCTGCAGCTATGGTGGCTGGGGTCTTTTTCTGTCTGTGGGAAATTCCTGATCCAATTCCATGATCTCACTCTGAGCTTCACCCTAAAAACCTGAGAGCTCTGCTACCAACCTAACATCATCCTTTACACAATATCAGAGTGAATACCACCTTCTCTCCTTATGAGGGCACACACACACACACACACACACACACACACACACACACACACACACACACACACACACACACACACACACACACACACACACACACACACACACACACACACACACACACACACACACACACACACACACACACACACACGTTTTATGTCCTTTTGGAAACCATTGGAATTATTTTAATTCGATCAGTCATTCAGAAGTTATGACGCAGAGAATCTAGAGTAAGAAATAACATGAGGTTCTTGTGTTTTTCTAGTTTCACTTCAGAAGTCCCCCATGTTCGCTTTTCTGTCTGATATGCTAACTCTGCTCGACATACACACTAACCACAGACTCAAATGTTAATGTAAACAAAAGCTCTGAGGTTAAAATTCATCCAGCTGACGTGATGCAGGCTGAATAAAAACTTACAGGTAGATGAACGCAGACTCCTACCGACAAGCAAAACACCGGTCTGTCGTCTCCATGGCAGCGAGTTAGAGGGACAGCCAACCACACGTTAGTCTGACGTGGCAGAACCAGTCAGTGAGCTTGTGGGCGGGTCTAAGGGAAAATAGGCTTCAGCTTGAGGAGGCTGTCTCCGCATGGTCCTAGTGCCTGCACCGTATCCAAGTATGACAGTTTTGAACGGTAAAATCTGACGAGAGACCGGAAAAAGGGCACTTTGGGCACCAGCTCAAGCACCACCCACCCCCCTCTGCACCTGCCTGTGTTTTAGTGGAAACAAGTGAGCTTTGAATGCATTTTTCACATAGTAAAAATCCTGCAGCATGGTTAAAAATCACCTTTTAATTACACTAAAGTGAGCAGCAAATGTAGTTTTTTCATTTTTTATTACCAATGATTGTCCCTCTGAGTCATCACCATCATGAAACGGAGTCATGTAATGGTCCTTTAGTTTTTTTTTTTAAAGTCATTTAAACTACACAACAGTTACTACAGTCTCATTCCTTCATGATGAACATCCAAGGAATGGACATCAAGAGAGTAGAACCCTACAAATATCTGGGCGTTCACCTGAACAATAAACTGGACTGGCCTCACTACTGACGTTCTACAGGGAGGGCCAGAGCAGGCTTTACCTCCTGAGGAGACTGCGGTCCTTTGGATTAAAGGGGACACTCATGAAGACCTTCCATGACTCTGGGTATGGTGTGGCCTGTTGGAACAGCAGCATCACAGAGGGAGAAAGGAAGAAGCTGGACAGGTTGAGAAAGAAGTCCTGCTCTGTCCTGGGCTGTCCTCTGGACTCAGTATGAGAAGTGGAGGACAAGAGGGCGCAGGCAAAACTCAAATCAATACTGGACCATGAGTCACACCCCCTGCAGGAAGCCCTGTCTGCTCTGGAGAGCAGCTTCAGTGACAGACTGGTCCATCCTCACTGTATGAGGTAGAGATACCACAGGTCTTTTCTTCCTGCTGCTGTTAGACTTTATCTAATAACCCATTCATCTGTAACATTCCACTGCAAATGGCATCACCTACAGTACATGTGCAATACCACTGCAACTACTACTATCATTATTTGCAATAATTATCTTGATTATCTTATTTACAATGATACTATCGTGTGATATCTTTTGTGTACTACTGCTGCGATCTGTCCTTGAGCTGTTGCAGTTTCCTCACTGAGGGACAAATAAACGTATATTCTTATTATTACCATACCATACCAACTTTATTTCCATAGCACACTACTTTGTGACAAAGCACAGCTGTAAGCCTCCGCTGAAAGGTGCAAGGCAGTCCCAAAGACACCTGGTTTCATAAACACAGATGCAAACATTGTTAGCATGTGTCTTCACAGAAGAGAGCACTGACACTTCCTCTAAGACATACGTTTAAATAAAACGGAGGTCTTGCTGTTAAACATTCAGGGTTTCCCCCAGCGCTTTATAAGCCTGGCGGCCCGCCAGGCTAAGCGTCATACCCCGCCCCCCTCCCCGACCTTACCATGTCCGCTGACACTAACGGCTCAACGAAAGTAGAGCCCTCCATCAGCTGATACTGGTGAGAAACAGCAGCAGAACGTGTATAGAACGTGTGCAACCCCCCCACCCCAACCCCCGATGGCCGAATCCGCCAGACTTAATTCATTTTCTGGGGGAAACCCTGATTTTATCAGAAATCCCTTTTAAAAAAAAGAAAACTTAAAAAGTGTGCTACTAATTAAGTGGGTGTGTGCGCGCACACGCACGCACATGTGTGTTGGGTTGGGTCCTCCCCCTCCCCCGAGATGGAACAGAAGTGTTTTTGCCAGTACAGGAGGAACTAAGATCCACCCAAGGCCCACGCCCTCTTACCGACAGCATACAAGCCAGGACCCAGTCCCCGGCCCAGCTCAGATCTGACTTAAACTACAGGTGCTGGCCAGTAAATTAGAATATCATCAAAAGGTTGAAAATATTTCAGTAATTCCATTCAAAACGTGAAACTTGTACATTATATTCATGCAATGCACACAGACCATTGTATTTCCAATGTTCATTACATTTAAATTTGATATTCATAAGTGACAACTAATGAAAACTCCAAATTTGGTATCTCAAAAAATTAGAATATTCTGAAAAGGCTGAATATAGAAGACACCTGCTGCCACTCTAATCAGCTGATTTACTCAAAACACCTGCAAAGGCCTTTAAAAGGTCCCTCAGTCTTGTTTTGAAGGCACCACAATCATGGGGAAGACTTCTGACTTAACAGCTGTCCAAAAGACAATCATTGACACCTTGCACAAGGAGGGCAAGACACAAAAGGTGATTGCTAAAGAAGCTGGCTGTTCGCAGAGCTCTGTGTCCAAGCACATTAACAGACAGGCGAAGGGACGGAAAAAATGTGGTAGAAAAAAGTGTACAAGCTCTAGGGATAACCGCACCCTGCAGAGAATTGTGACGACAAACCCATTCAAAAATGTGGGGGAGATCCACAAAGAGTGGACTGCAGCTGGAGTCAGCGCTTCAAGAACCACCACGAGGAGACTCATGAAAGACATGGGATTCAGGTGTCGCATTCCGTGTGTCAAGCCACTCTTGAACAAGAAACAGCGCAAGAAGCGTCTCGCCTGGGCCAAGGACAAAAAGGACTGGACTGATGCTGAGTGGTCCAAAGTTATGTTTTCTGATGAAAGCAAGTTCTGCATTTCCTTTGGAAATCAAGGACCCAGAGTCTGGAGGAAGAGCGGAGAAGCACAGAATCCACGTTGCATGAGGTCCAGTGTAAAGTTTCCACCGTCAGTGATGGTGTGGGGTGCCATGTCATCTGCCGGTGTTGGCCCATTCTGTTTCCTGAGGTCCAGGGTCAATGCAGCCGTCTACCAGGAAGTTTTAGAGCACTTCATGCTTCCTGCTGCTGACCAACTTTATGGGGATGCAGACTTCACCTTTCAACAGGACTTGGCACCTGCACACAGTGCCAAAACCACCAGCACCTGGTTCAAGGACCATGGTATCCCTGTCCTTGATTGGCCAGCAAACTCGCCTGACCTTAACCCCATAGAAAATCTATGGGGTATTGTGAAGCGGAGGATGCAATACGCTAGACCCAACAATGCAGAGGAGCTGAAGACGACTATCAGAGCAACCTGGGCTCTCATAACACCTGAGCAGTGCCACAGACTGATCGAGTCCATGCCACGCCGCATTACTGCAGTTATTGAGGCAAAAGGAGCCCCGACTAAGTATTGAGTGCTATACATGCACATTCTTTTCATGTTCATTCTTTTCAGTTGGCCAACATTAGAGAAACAAACATTTTTTCATTGGCCTTTAGAATATTCTAATTTTCTGAGATACCAGATTTGATGTTTTCATTGGTTGTCACCTATAAATATCAAAATTAAACGTAATAAACATCGGAAATACATTGGTCTGTGTGCATTGCATGAATATAATGTACAAGTTTCACGTTTTGAATGGAATTACTGAAATATTTTCAACCTTTTGATGATATTCTAATTTACTGGCCAGCACCTGTAAATCAGGAAAGTTAAAGAATAACAGAAGTCTGGCCTTCACAAACCTCATATTTGCCTTTCTGTGAAAAACCGTGTGTCAGATTTGTGTAGATGAAAAAATAGTTTGAAACAATAGTTTAATGCAACACGTGTGGCATCAGGATGTCAGCTGAGTCAGAACATAAACAGCCTAAATAAGAAAAAGAGAATGAAGTGAAAAGTCACCGTGGGAAGAGGAGAAGAGACAAGAATGAACATGGATGGAGATGTAAAATTTGTCTTGGCTTAGGTGGGATCAGAACAAACAAACTGGCTCGGGATCTAAAGCTGATTTGGGTTTTTGTTTTGGATGTAGGTTCTAAATTTAACCCACAATTGTTTGCAGGCTCAGGAGAAACGGCGTCCCACCCACACGAGCAGCAGACCCCAACATCAGGGGTCCAATTTAGTTTGAGTAGACATCAGTCCTTTTGGGCTGCCAGCATTACATCATGGCATACCTATTCTGATTTTAACAAGCCTGAGAAGTCATTTGGTACATTGGCAATGAAAACCGTGCTTGGACTAATCGGGTCTGAGCAGATTGAAAGAGGAACGTACGAGGTTGCTTAATACTCCGAGGTCGTAATCCTGCGATGTAAAATGAAGTTGCATGCTAAAGCCACTTTCAGTCAATCAGGCTGCAAACATGCTTCAGATGAGCTGGTGGTAAAGTGCTTCCCATAGAGATTAATCATGCAAAATGTTTCTAATGTGAGGATGTTTTTCTTTGTTCGTGTTACATTGTACAGAAGTCTGCTTTGGGCACTTTAGTCAACCGGGAGGAGGCTTTCCAAATGCATTCCTACAGTCAAAGGCACAAAGACATCCCTGAAATGTTCAAGATAATTTCCAGCGGGGGCTGCGGTGTAAGAACAGATCTCTGCATCAGACAGAATGGACTTTCATCGATTCTGTCCAGGCTCAGTCTGAAACTGACTCTAAACAGAGCAGGTAAACCTCTGCAGAATTCATAGAGTGGCTGTGAGTTAACAGTGGTGGCTTCTATATACAGGTCCTTCTCAAAAAATTAGCATATTGTGATAAAGTTCATTATTGTCTGTAATGTACTGATAAACATTAGACTTTCATATATATATTAGATTCATTACACACAACTGAAGTAGTTCAAGCCTTTTATTGTTTCTAATATTGATGATTTTGGCATACAGCTCATGAAAACCCAAAATTCCTATCTAAAAAATTAGCATATCTTGAAAAAGTTCTCTAAACAAGCTATTAACCTAATCATCTGAATCAACTTGTCATGTTCTGCGTCCTGTGTCCTCCTCATGTATCTCCTATTCAGCGTCCCTGTGCTCCTGTCTTGTTCTGTGTCCCTCTGGTCCCCATCCCCTCCTGTTCTCTCTCCAGGTTCTCCTCTTGTGTCTTCTTTATTATCCCCAGCTTTCTCTAGGCATCCCTCAGATGTCCTAATCACTCCCTGTTAGTCCCTACTAGATTTTATATTAGTGCTCCTCATCCTTCTAGTGATTAGTTGTTTATATTTGCCCTCAGTCTCTAAGTTCAGTTGTCCGTGTTTTATAGGTTTAAGTTTATCTGCCCTCCTGCTTGTTTCTTTCCCCCATTTAGTTTATTCAATGCACCTGCCTTCCCTCCAGCTCTCACTACTCACACCTGTCACCTGTTCCCCTGATCACCTCCCTCTGTGTTTAAAAACCCTGTCTTGTCCTTAAGTGTTTGTCAGTCCATTGTATGTGTCTGTGCTGTTCTGTTCCCTCTTGTCTTTTGCCTGAGTCCGTGCTCATGTTTTGAGCTCCTGTTTTGTTTTTGTCCTGCTGGATTAAGCCTCTGCCTTAAAAATAAAGAAATTACTTCTTTACATCCGCTCCTGTCTTGAGTGATCTGGTGTTCTGCGTTTTTGGGTCCTAACCTCCTGCTCAGCGTGACACAACTAATTAACTCTAAACACCTGCAAAATATTCCTGAGGCAAAAACTCCCAGCCTGGTTCATAACTCAAAACCGTAATCATGGGTAAGACTGCCAGCCTGACTGCTGTCCAGAAGGCCATCATTGACACCCTCAAGCAAGAGGGTAAGACACAGAAAGAAATTTCTGAACGAATAGGCTGTTCCCAGAGTGCTGTATCAAGGCACCTCAGTGGGAAGTCTGTGGGAAGGAAAAAGTGTGGCAGAAAACACTGCACAATGAGAAGAGGTGAGCGGACCCTGAGGAAGATTGCGGAGAAGGACAGATTCCAGACCTTGGGGGACCTGCGGAAGCAGTGGACTGAGTCTGGAGTAGAAACATCCAGAGCCACCGTGTACAGGCGTGTGCAGGAAATGGGCCACAGGTGCCGCATTCCCCAGGTCAAGCCACTTTTGAACCAGAAACAGCGGCAGAAGCGCCTGACCTGGGCTACAGAGATGCAGCACTGGACTGGTGCTCAGTGGTCCAAAGTACTTTTTTCAGATGAAAGCAAATTTTGCATGTCATTCAGAAATCAAGGTGCCAGAGTCTGGAGGAAGACTGGACAGAGGGAAATGCCAAAATGCCTGAAGTCCAGTGTCAAGTACCCACAGTCAGTGATGGTCTGGGGTGCCATGTCAGCTGCTGGTGTTGGTCCACTGTGTTTTATCAAGGGTGGGGTCGATGCAGGAGATTTTGGAGCACTTCATTTTTCAGCACGACCTGGCACCTGCTCAGTGCCAAAACCACTGGTAAATGGTTTACTGACCATGGTATTACTGTGCTCAACTGGCCTGCCAACTCTCCTGACCTGAACCCCGTAGAGAATCTGTGGGATATTGTGAAGAGAAAGTTGAGAGACGCAAGACCCAACACTCTGGATGAGCTTAAGGCCGCTATGGAAGCATCCTGGGCCTCCATAACACCTCAGCAGTACCACAGGCTGATTGCCTCCATGCCACGCTGCAGTGAAGCAGTCATTTCTGCAAAAGGATTCCCGACCAAGTATTGAGTGCACAACTGAACATAATTATTTGAAGGTTGACTTTTTTTGTATTAAAAACACTTTTCTTTTATTGGTCGGATGGAATACGGTATGCTAATGTAATGAGATAGGAATTTTGGGTTTTCATGAGCTGCACGCCAACATCATCAATGTTAGAAACAATAAAAGGCTTGTACTACTTCAGTTGTGTGTAATGAATCTAATATATATGAAAGTCTAATGTTTATCAGTACATTACAGACAATAATGAACTTTATCACAATATGCTAATTTTTTAGAAGGACCTGTACATGTTCCTGGTAGTTCATCAAAGTGAGAGAGATTAATTTACCACCTAAAATAACTAGAGAACTCTTAACTTGGACTAGATTTGCTGCATACAAGATTGGTTTCCATGGCATCAGTTTTACATCTTGTTTTGCTTCTCTGTGTTGTTTGAAGTGACTGCATTGGTTACTAAAAGCCCTTCACAATGTTGCTGTTCCCAGGAGATTTTCTTGTGTTCATAAACTTAAATGAGACGGTACCCACAAAGAGGAAGATGCTAGAACATCTAGTGTGTCTGAGTTCCAGGGAAATTGACCTAGAGTCATTAAAAAGGACATAATCCCATCCCACTGTGCACCTCTTCTAACACTGATGAAACTCAGCTTCCCCTTTCTGCTGAATCGACACTCACGTGTCTGCAGTTACCTTCTAAGGTTGTGAGATTCTTGAGAGTCATGGATTGCTCCCAGTCTTTCAGACGGAGGTCTTCTGTGATCGTGTTCAGGATTTCCATCTCGTTCCTCAGCTGGGCCTCCGTGTGGATGTGCGTCACCCACAAATTGCTGGTGTCTTCTGTGATGTTGCTGATCTGGATCTGAGCAGATCAAGTTCACAAATAAAGACTTAGATGAGAAGGCTACAGCTCAGAGGGAGGCTTGGTACTCAGGCTGCTTTAGTGTGAGCTCTGTTGAGGAACAAACCTGTAAGTCTTGAATTTTTAGGTGATGAACACTGACGTCGTTGCTGAAGGTGTGATTGACAGCTCCAACTGTCCAGTTGACCTCATCCAGTTTTTCTCTTAGCCCGTTTAAATGTCCTGATGTTTCCCTGGAGTCCAGCCAGAAACAGATGGGACCATATTCTATAGCTGATAAAACTCAACAGACGTTGATGGACGAAGGTCTACCTGAGCAGGACGTCGTGGTCACGGAGCCATCTGGAGGTGCGTGACACCTCTGAGATCAGATTTGTCAGGTTTCTACCTGCCGAGCTGGCAAGCGAGGACAACCTGTCGTCCAGCTGCACCAGGTAGCCCTCTGACTGAAGGGAGTGACTCTGGAGGCTCCTCAGCTCCAACTCCAGGCCCTGCATGGAATGCAACAATGTTTATAGCAAAATACTATGTTTTAGCTTTAAAGTTCCACATTTTTATCATGTTTTCCGTTTACTGGTAGTCATCTGCAAGGGCAGCAGTCCTCGCAAGGAAGCCGACACCATCCCATCCCCAGCAACCTCTACTGTCCCTTCTGTTGGAACCCTGGATAAATCTTGGGCCGTCTGGGTTAGCCTGGGCACCTCCTGGCAGCAGGACACGCTGGAAACACCCTTGGAGGTGTCCAGGAGGAATTCTTAACCAATTCCCACAAATTCTGGCTTCATGCTCAGTCTATCATCCCATCTCTTAGGCTGAGCCTAGCTCAAGAAACTCCTTTCAGCTGCCGGTCTTTACAGTCTTGTCTCATGACCATAGGTGGTAATTTGAATAAAGATCGACCACTTAATCGAGAGCCTCTTCACCACAACATACTGGTTGAGTCTGCTTGTCAATCTCCCTTCTTCCCACATGGAAGCACACTGAAGTGCAGTGTTGCATCACGCCACAAACACAGCTGTGACTCATTTCCACTCCTGGTTTCTTAAGCTTCGTCTAACAGTCAAAGAGACAGAGCACAGATAGCCCTTGTGATCTTGTGTAGTACCTTGATGAGGATCTCCAGCCTCTGCAGCCAGTTGCTTTGGTTCTGAAAGATGTTTTCCAGTTTCCAAATGTAATCCAGCAGGTCAGCCTGAGTGGACTCCTCGCCCAGGGCGTGCTGGAGCAGATTAGAGTGCTCTGAGATCCGAGTCACGTTCTCTATTGACACCTCCGTACGCCTCGGGGACACCTGGGAACGAGAAACTGGAGAGAAATTGAGAAAAGATGAGTGAGCGATTTATTCTCAGCATTGAATTAAAGATCCCTCAGCCCCAGCAAAAGCCCCTAAATCGGGTTTCATTTAATATCAATCACAACTGCCAGTGTGGAGTGAGCCAGTGCTGTAATGCTGTGCAGATGTTGACTCAGTCGCCTGCGCTGATTCTGATTGTCTGCTCGTGCTGAATGTATTGTTATTTCAAATCAAGACCTAAATAGTTTCACGAGTTTTGTAACATGGCTCAGCTTGAAGCTGTCTGTGTTCGAATGTGTCTCTTTGTGGAAAATATGTCTTCATTTGGACTCCTGTTGAAGGTGGCCTCTGCAGACTTAGCACAGTTGTTGCTAAAAATATGACGTATGAACTGCGCACTTCTTACTCTTGAACTGTTATTTATTTGTATTCCTGTTTTTGGACATTGATGTTCATAATTTATTCATATATTTTTTAGTATACCAAAACTCCTGTACCAGAGCAAAAATATGTTCTCATAGTAGCTGCATCAAAACATGCCACAATCATAAAACACTGGTGCATGTGAGTCTACTTTTCACTGAGAAGCCGTGTTGTTCTTTTTGAAATACGATTGGTCACCCTGAGTTGCACATGCATGCTCCGTCCATCCAGAAGGGGCCTGCGGGCCGGACCTGCCCGCCTACTGAGTACCACTGCTCTAAGTCAGTGAGTGTGCGACTCCACTTTCAAGCTGATGGAGAAGTACAAATCACCTTAAGACCTTCCAAAACATAGTTTAGGATAAATATCAGATTGTAAAGAAAGTTGATCACTTGACTGCAAAATAAAAGAATGGTGCTGAAATTATCCCGGACTGCTCGACTCAGACAAAAAGCATTCATAGTTCAGCACAGTCAAAGTCAAAAGTTCGACTTCATACAGCTGAATGTGTTCAGTTTGTCATCTGGCATTGTGTTGGTTGGGGGAATTCTGAAAATATTGTTTCATGACAAACTAAAAAAACCACAAGACATTTGTAAAAACCACAGAGGAAAGTCTATCAGAGGAATGAGTTTTGAGGTGAAAAAGGGAATAAAACACCACCCAAACAGGGCCTTTTTCATTGAGCAATTAGAGTTTTGATTGACAGAAAAAATTAGATAACAAATGATCCTGCTCTCTCTTTGCAGACATGATATGTTCCACCTTATGAACTGGACAAGCATGTAGATAAATTGAAGCAGACAGTGTGAGAACCGGGTCGGCGTGACCTGCATTTAATGTCACATTTACTGACAGTTAACAAACTGCAGCTGAGCCTCCGTTAGCTCGTGTTCTACTGGCACCAAGTCTTGTCCAAGTTCTCCACCGTTACTAATGAGAAAAAGCTCCTCGGATTTAATGTTATGTTGAAATCTTGCTGCATGGCAACGGCTCGATTTACAGCAAGATCATTTGAAACCAGATCTTTAGCGTTGCACAGTGACAACGTCTCGCCAACGCCGTGTGAGAAAAAAAAAAAACCCAAAACCAAATGGATAAAACAGGAATTACTGTGGAAAGTTAATTTCCTTCATATGTTTCTCTGCACTGATATCACACACTGATCCTCCTTTTGTGGATGTAAAAAAGAAATAAATGTGTGTATGTGCAAGCAGAGGACCAAAGAGAGAGAAAAAACACCAGGATGACATCAGACTCGAGAAAAGGGCCACAAACCCACCCTCTTTCAAACAGACCATCTCAATTACTGCTCATTATGTGTGTTAGGTTTGCTCCTAATGACCTGAAACGCTAAATAAATGCAACCTCTCAAACACACGGGCTGCTTTACTGTTAACGGGTGGCGTGTCAGCTATTTTTTCTAAAGAACACACAGACAGTAAAAGATCATTTGTCAAATGTGGCTCGGCTTAAAAAATGAGAGTGAATTTTGAAATAAAAGAATTTAAAAAATCTTTTAATTGCATGTGTTTTAGTCATTACTCTTCATTTCTGAGGTCATCTCAGTCAAAACTGATGAGAAACAGCCTGCAAAATAAAACAAAACACATTTCTGTACTATTCATTTCAAACTTTTTGTATTGTTGAGTTTCTGGGTTTCTATGCCAGCCCACACCTAGAGGACACACACGTAGATGGCGACACGGCAGCAACATTCAATACACATCAGTCCTAATTTCACAGCTTCACGGTTTCTGAGGTCTCTTGTGGCGACTCACAAACGAGGGACAGTTTATCCACTTATGTATCAAATGTTGGGAGAGCAGGCCAGCCCAACAGCTGGACTTGACTGTGCAACACGAACGGATCCCAGATTATCTGTGCATGTAATTCTGCACCTTATCTGCACTGCTGTTTGGACTCAGTGTTGTTAACAAGTCAGTTTTCTGAACAAACAGGCAAGAATTGCGCAACATGACCAAACTAGAATAGCTTATATTCTATATTTATGCCACCATTAAAATATTCCATTAAACTAGGGCTGCACTATATTAGGACAACCTGCGATATGCGATAACAGTGGTTAATATTGCGATGATGATAATACTTGTGATAAATGAAAACTTAACTCAGGAACAAAAATAATAAAAAACAAAGAAATATAAAATGACAAAAAAATCATAAAAATGAGAAAAGCAAAAATGTGAGGAAAGGGGAAAAGAAAATGAACAAGAAAAGGCAATCAGTGGATCCAAGGAAAAGCTGAATCAGCAGAAAGAACAGGACAAAGCTAACTCAGGTGTTTGCTAACCATCAAAATTAAGTGCCGTCCGCCTCGGGGGTGGGCATCTAACCTATGAGAACCCACCCATTTGGCCAAATGGGTGAAGAGCTCTATTTGATTTGTTAAAAAAAAATCATGCTTCCATTTGATTGACAGAACGCATTATGTGTAGCAAACATTTGAGCTGACCATTCATCACGATATTTATCTGTTCTTTGCAATATGCATATTGCGCATGCTGATGTCGCGATAACGATATATTTGCGATATATTGTGCAGCCCTACATTAAACTAAAGTTTAAAAGGCTCCTAAAGTCAAAACCACATTTAACTTGATGTGGTTGGATTTAGGCAGCTTGGGATGTCAAATGTACCAAAACCTTTGGTGCCGTTTCTGACCTGCTTTTTGATGAAAATTACGGTAGTAATTTTGTATTCGCCACGGAGAGATGTTTTGTATCAGCCCAATTCAATATTGGCAATATATAAATGTTGGTGGCAGTAATGTTAACCTCAGAAAAATGCTAGCCCGAGCTAATGCTAATGGTAACCCCAGCTAATACTAACGCTAGCCCCAGCTACTGCTGACGTCCTTGTTGGATGAGAAGAAAACAGCTAAGAATGTCAGAGCACACACGTTCTAGGATGTACTGGGAATATCCAGAACTGAATACCAGATGGTTCCACAAGTTTCCCATTGAGTTATCTGGGTACTGCAGAGTTTCTAGCTTCATGGAACCATCAGGGTAAAACAGCCAATCGTCATGCAGCTCGTTGAACATTCATGTCCTGGCTGAGTGGGTAGCGCAGACCAGTCTTTATTATGGGGTTGTGTTTGGCTGTTTATCAGGGCTCCTGGGCCGTTTGGAGCCCCAACAAAGGCTCACAGAACATCAGCAGAAAAAGCTTTGCTACTTCATAAACAGGATTTTTGCCCTGAGAATAGAAATTGAATTATTTTTTCCATCATGTCACACGAGTTAGACAGCTTTTCAGATTTAGTTTAGACTGTTTTGAGAACCTTTACTTCTGGATTTGTTGATAAACATCGCAGCTAAAAGGCACAACACTTCTCAAAGACGCCATTGTTCTGTTTGTTTATGCCCACATATGTTTTTGTGTCTGGTTTATTCAAATAAAATAAAAAAGGATCTGGAGTTTTGTCTTTTTTATTACGATAACCCCCTGTTTTGTTTCTTTCTGGTTCCTTTTTCCCCTTCACACGAACAAACATCTAACAAGGAGGGCTTTAATTGTTCCCTGACTTGTTACGGTACACTTCACCTGAAACTAAAACTAATTTACATATCCTTATTTCAAAAATTAGAACCAGCATGTTTCACCAGCAGAAAGGGCCTTGTTCTGTCCCAGAACAAAGTGAGCAGAAAACAGGATGGTTTCCCATTCGTGTCCTCTGTTTACAGCACACACACACACACACACACACGCACGCACGCACACACACGCGCGCACACACACACACACACTTCTACAGAAGCTAGTTGGATTACCTCATGATCAGACAGAAGAAGGAGACAGAAGAAAGTCTCAGATCTGTAATCCTTTGAGGTCAAAGCCAACATGTTGCTGTGAGTATGTGTGTGTGTGTGTGTGTGTTCCTCACTCTTTTATTTATGTTGTTGAGACTTGAGCCCCTTTGCGGGTCATAATATCCGTGTATCTTCAGGTCAAAGGTTAACATTTAGTGACAAAGGTTGAAAGTCTGCAAAAAGTGAAAGTTTCACCTCCTAACCCTAATATTTAACCCCACCCTGAGCTCTGGGGGTCATTGTGGTGTTTTGCTTTTCTTTTGATGTGGAAGGATTTCTCTTTTTAGGAGGTCACTTCAAATTCATTCCATTCCATTCCATTTATTTGATAAAGCACATTTAAAAACAGCATGTGAGCTGACCAAAGTGCTGTACAGGGGTAAAAACATATAGGGTTAAAAGAATAATATAAAAGAATAAAACAACTAGAGCAAAACACAAAGAACCAACCATGAGAAGTCAATAAAATCAGTAAAAGAACAGTGTAAATAAACCATCGATAAAATTGCTAGGTAGTAAAAGCAAGAGAATAAAAGTAAGTCTTTAAGTGAGACTTAAAAACCCCAATGGAGGAGGAGAGTCTGATATTCAGTGGGAGATCATTCCAGAGTTTTGGAGCGCAGACAGAAAAAGCTCGTTCACCACGGGTTTTGCAGCGTTGACGGGGAATCTGTAGTAGGTGTAGGTCACCTGAATGGAGAGTCCTGCCTGGCACATAAGGAGTGAGTAACTCGGATATGTAGGGTGGTGC